CCTCATTTATGTTCCAATTTTTTCATAGGGTCATTTAGTTTTTTTAGTTTTTTAAACTAATTAATCGTCATAACAAGAGCTTAGACAAATGGTTGGGATAAGTTACAGCAATTATTGAACATTTAAAATTAATTCTGTCAAACACAGTCATTAGCAATCCATGAGATTTTTCCTACTTTAACACTCATTTGTTTTCTCATAGGTTAGCCTGATTTTAAAGGCAAGTTTTGACGGTGCTTTCCTCTACATCCTTTATTACATCCACAAAGGGTTCGACTTACCCCGTTTGTTAAAGTGTTCAATGGATCCTTGCCCGAACATAGTGGACTGTTACGTATCCCGCCCCACAGAGAAGAAGATCTTCACTCTCTTCATGGTGGTGTCCTCTGCTGTCTGCATCTTGATGTGTATCTTTGAGATGTTTTACTTCATCTGCAAGAAAGTCAAGAAACGAATCATTGAGAAAATAGATGAAGAGACTCGTGAGTTGAAGTCATCGTCAACACCTCATTCAAGGCACAAGTCTAGATCATCTTCGAGAGTGGATCCAACAGTGTCTAACCAGAACCTGAATAACATCAAAACTGAGGAGACACCAACCACGAAATAAGAACCATGTTGTTCGGGCTACTCTGAAAAACTAATTGAATAACTCCAGGTGCCACTGGAAGCAAATGAATCCCTCCTACTGCTTGCAAAACTGTTGCTCATAGAAAACAAAAGAAGTAAGCAGTGATTTGTAAATATTACCATGTTAAACGAAATTCAGCATGCATCGACAGCAAAATTGTGGGTCAAAGAGGAAGCTATTTTTTGTGCATGTATGTTCTGTGTCTGTATGAGTGTGTCTCTGTATTCATGCTTTTATGTAGCCTGTGCATCACTAGCCAATAGTAAATTGTGACTGGCCAAGCACAGCACGTTCTTGAACACAGTAAGTGGAGATGAAGAGATTTGAAGGAAATCTCTTTTATTCTTGCACAAGAACCATTGTCAACCATAATGAAGTAAGACTACAGCTATTATAGTTTGTTTTAAATGATGAGGGGGTGGGGTTGTTGCAATATATAAAGTTGTTTCACTGTTAAATGTTTGTGTATGTGTCTTTTTTCATGCATTTCACAATTATCAAGCGGTTACCAGGTCAGTTGGGAAGACTACATGCTGTAAGTGAACCTTATATTCACTTTAGGATTACACGCTGAGTCACTCACAAATTGCTTCACAATCGGCTTCACACAAAGCTTTACTTTACAATAGAGATAGACATGTGACCCCGCCTTACTTGTTCTGGCGTCATCCGAGTTTCCACACTACCGTCCAATCAGAAGCAGAGGACACGGGTGCGGTTTTGATAGATAGGACAATGCACCAATGGTAAGCGGAAACCGGACGTCGCCGTATCTGCCCTTACGGATGCTTCGTTGTAGGAAGTAAAGGCTGTCAAATATGAGTTTCCACTACGGACAGGTATTGAATTCCCGTATTTTATATTTTGTTTTTGTCTTCATAATAACATACTAATGTTGTTTATTGAGTTTCTCTTTTATTGACCAATGTGACGTAACTAACAGCACCGCAAGTAGTTTCGGTTATTCATTTGTCTGCTGTGGTTAGCTAAGTGTTACACGGTAAACTGTTGCTATTCTTTAGCAACATTTCGGTAGGAAATAGCGGGTTACTCAGTGTTTATCTTTTAAATTTGGTCTTGTGGGTCAGCAAAACGTAACTACTCTAGTTTTCCTCGTTTGAATTGATAACAGTCATGGTGGGTTTCATCTGAAAGTAGAGGTAACTCATCGTTCTTGCTCAAACACATAATTATGGTGTAAGTAAATTTTAACCTTAATTACCTACCATATAAAAGAAGTTGAGCCGTTTTATGTCAACAAACGAATCATTGATCAGCACAGTGGGATACAATCTAGTTTATTTTGCTTGAATTATGGCATCGTTAAGCTTCTGTACGTCTTGTTTTTAGTTAATTCGTGAATCTTTTTTCTTGTATTAATTGATTACATCATCGAAAGGCTAGAATAAGACTTTGTTTCACATGTTTAATGATCTTTGCCTGAAAAGTATTTAAAACCACTAATACACTACCAAAATACAGCTGTATTTTTTGTTGTTTTGTTTTAGCCTTTCACATAAAATTACCCACCTCTGTGTCCTATAGGTAACTTCACATGAGCAGTCTCATAATTATAAACCAATTACATGTTTTGCTGGCAAAATCTTAATCTACATGCTGATTGTAGCTTTCAAATAAGTATGCAACATTTAACTTAATTAAACAAATAAAATATTTTCCTCATATTGTGCAGCTCTCATTGGTGCCAAATAAACTGCTGTCTGTGGCATGGCCATGGGAACTCTAGGGGTGTAGGCTCTATGAGTTCTGATTCCAGATCAAACCTTTATACTAAACCCACTTAAACATTGCTACAGACAACACAATCCTGCTTATGCCTTAACCTCCTAGGACATGCCTATTCAACTACGAAGTTAGTTGGGCCAGATTTTCAAACCGAGGAATTTATCTGGGCCAGATATTTTTTTTGAAGCCAGTAAGCAGCAGATCATGATCAATTTCAAACCCACACAACTGTACTGAAAAACAAGTATTTTTTTTTTTATTCCTTTTCCCCTATAAACCTGGTGGTGACCTCTCACAAATGCACACCAAAAGGTCCATTTAAAAAAAAGGGAGCTATAACTAAACTATTTTTTGCACATTTGAAATAATAATAACAAAAAACATTTTGATAATTCCCTTTCAAATTAAAATAAATATTTTGCTGACCACTCACTTTTCCTGCCATGGATGGAGCCCCATCGGTCACAAGTATACAGACACGCTTCATATCCAGACCATTTTCCTCAAAAAGAGCTTAAATCTTCTCAAACATCATTTCGCCAGCTGTGTGTCCCTCTAACGGTAGCAAACCGAGCAATTTCCCATCCAAAAAACGGACATATACACATAACTGTGCATTATCAGTTCTGTCTGTGATCTCCTGCTATAGACATTACATCAGTTTTCTTCAGGTCATCTAACAGCATTTCAAACTCGTCTGACGCCAGAACTTCAATTCTACGAATATTTGAACTGTCCTACAGGGGTACGTTTTTAATAGCAGATGTCACACTCACTTTTCACCGCATCCACCACGGCCAGCATGCAGTATTTCATTGTTTCAGAATCTGTGAAAGGCCTTTTCTTCTTCGCCAAGAAGCAAACACGAAGGGAAGATGCTGCAGGGGGGCTATACAATATTGAACAGCTAATTTTAGTATTGTGGCTAATGATTACATATTTTCCCCTGAAATGTTAAACAAGAGGAGTACAAAGTAGCAGGATCCAAGGCAACAGAAAATACATGACCTTAAAACTAAACTTAAGTACAGAATTTGAGAAGATAGTCGAATAGCCATACCTGAAGTATCTTGTGTCTCTGTTGTCCTCAGACTCTTTTACTGCAGAAGCAGTAAGCCTGTTTATTATAGGGTTTAGTGACCCTTGCTTTTTTGTCCCTCTGCAGGGCTATCCAGTTGGAGTCAACCCGCCACAGGGTGCGCCATACGGTGCAGGCAGAGGTTCCTATGGGCCTCCCCCATCAGCTCCTTACGGAAGTCCTGGAGGTCAACCAGGAGGCCCCTATGGTGGTTATGGAGTTCCAGGTCATGGAGGGCAATATGGGCCAGGGCCAGGTGGTGCCCCTGCTGGGCCTTATGGGGGTTATGGTGGACAACCGTATGGGGGACCTAATGCAAACTATGGTCCTGCAGGTAATCATGAGATGAGAGCATATCTTTGTAAGCATCTGTGGTAGCTCTGCCTGTAGGATTTAAGCAGGCATACACTGAACACAAGGAGACTGCAGATAGACTCTGATTCTGCTTCCACATTGCTTCCCCCCTCACTCTCCGCTGGGATGATGGATAGAAAATGACTTGCGTTCCCAGACAGTCTTGTAGAGACAGGGTTCAGTTTGTGCCCCTCAGCAGGATTACACGGCTGGAGTGATGACTCCGGTAATACTGAGTGAGGGCTAAACAGAGTAAGAGACAGATGGGCAAAGAGTGTGTTTGTGTGTGTGCGTGTGTGTGATTACACTGTTTCCAGTAGTGGCTAAGCCTAAGTCAGAACCTGATAGCCTATGTTACGATCAGTCCCCACAGGGACAAAATCCATCAAGGGTCTGCCCTCAAGTGTCACCTGTCCCTCTCTCCCCATTCATTTTTCTGACAATCAGTCCCCCCTCTACTGCTTCCTTCAACTCACACCATATTTTTCTAACACCTCCTTTTTCCAGATAATGGCCTCTTCTCGAGACGGCTTTTTATCAACCTTTGACCCTATCTGCACCTTCATTTTCACAGCCGCTATTTATGAAACCTGAACCTGTATAACTAAGGTTGGACATGTAGCCTTTAGAAGAATACAAACTGCCTTACTAACTGCAGGAAGATTATTTGGATCCCTTCTTTGTTTTTTCCATATTGTAAAACAAATATGTATTTGAAGGGGCCCCGTCTAACTGTCAGATGAAATGCAATTCCTGTTCTGTTGCTCACATTTGCATGCAGCTTGTGGAAGCAGAACATCAGGCAAAATGGCAATGAGACTTACATGAGCTGTGTACGAGACTGTGTTGCAGTATCATACGTATGCTGCATTCACAGATGTACAACAGCTGAAATACCAGGGTACATACTCAGTATCAGTTTAATTGACTCATTATAGTTGACTCTGGTTATCAATGCCAGATATATGTTGCATAGCTAATTTATACCTACTCATCTATCGGCCCCTATTATTGGTAATGACTACATTTATATAAAATATTTTTAAATTTTTATTTATTTTAAAATAAATATAAATTCTCAACACAAAGCCTGTTTGAACTGAAATGTTTTTGTTTGCTGCTTTTTAAAAGAATGAACAAGGTCAACTAAAATCAGTTGTGGTAGTACACTGCTCCACAGCCGTAGTGGCACAGACTGAAAGGTTCTGTCCTTCCTATTCTGTTCCTGTTCCTTCCTATTAATCAGCCATGTAAATCACCCTCACCTAGCTGAACATGGACGCTTTAAAAAAGCTAAAGCTATCCAAACTTTAGAGCCAACCACAAGCTAGCAGCCTCGGTATGAGCAAAAGATCGAATCAGTTATGAAGAAAATTATGGAGATGAGTGAAAAAGAGAAAAGGATTTATGTCCTGTTATCTAGTTAATTTATAAACATACTGGAAAATGATCCAAGTAACTGAACTTTATTTTGTTAAATAAATCTGTAGCACCAGTTTTTTTTTTTGTTGTTGTTATTGTTTTTTGGGGGGGGGTTTAGTAAAGAAAATGTATTAGGTAAAGGTGGGTGTACAGTACCTCATTTTTAGTTAATTATTTGCACCTCTTTCCAGTACCAGAGCACTTCATTTTCAACTGTTTAAGTCAGAGAAGATCTTGTAACTTACTGCAGTGTAGTTATTTATTTTATTATGAAAATAATATTTTGCAAAGGTTGAAAGAAAAAGTTGTTTTATTGATTGCATATGCTTTTAATTAAACTTCTGTGGGAAAAAAAATCCAAATCAAATTGCCAAATATTGGTATTACACTTTAAAACAACAACAACTGGAATCAGCCAAGAAAATTCAATTTGGTGAATCTCTTGTTCTTTGGTGAAAATACATGAATTACAGTTTCATACAATTTAACAGCTGACAGCTCAAAACATTAGTTTTTCTACTTCAGAAAGTACGTCCACTACCTCAGTGTTAATAAGGACACTACTGTTAGTTAATATTAACCAGATAACCGTTCAGGTTTCAGTACAGACTTGATCCCAAAAACCAGGTGACCAGCAAACCAAATTTCTGTTTGGCCGGGCGGACTCCAGTGGGCTCCCCTTCTAAGCTACCAAAAGCTTTTGTTGCTCGCTGTTGATACTGGCAGTGGAAGATGGATATTTATTTAAGGCACTCAGGAGTGAGCATGTGTGTCACATAGTTGAAGATGTGTACAGAGAATTTACTGAATAGTTCACATAGAAATCAGTCCACAGGCTATTAGAGCAAACAGAGAGTC